AAGGCCGTTTGCGAGCCACCCGAACTAGGCTTGGCACAGTCTGTTTTTCGACCCCACTTTTTTGACGCCATCGGATAGAGCATGGTCGAATTAGTGGGACTGCATAGTTTTGAAAGTTTAAAAAGTTTAATTTGGGGGTTTAAATGGACGTTGAAGTTGCATGCCCCAAAAATTATCTTGGAAGTTACTTAACCAAATTTGCTGAAAATTTGTGCCAATACCTAATTTTGGACGGGGATCATTTCTCTAATACATCGCAAAGCGTGAAAATGGCCGGAACATAGGAATCTCGCGTAAACAAAACAGTTTTTCGAGATTTTCGTTGTGAAGGGTTGTTGGCTGCGCGCTGTAAATAGCATAGAAAGATGCGCAAAAACTTTCTGCATCGAATGGTGTATCATTTAGCGCGCAGACAGTAACCCTTCATCTTGAAAAAAGGGCTTAAAAGCTACCAAAAGAAAAATTCGAATATTTATGAAAACTAAAACATGGACTCGCATCTAGAGAGTCCAACCGCACGATCGCAAAAAAGAGCAAAAAGAAATACGAATTTTGAGAGGGGGCTGGGATTGAACTCGGGTCGTTCGCCTGGGACATGGCGGCGCCCACTAGCGGCTGTCCCCAGTGCCCCCCAGGCGGACCATCGCGGGTTCGATCCCCGCAAATCGCCATTTCCGAGTCGAAAGGGAATTTCTTTTTGCTCTTTTTTGCAATGGATACAGTTTGATCTTTAGACCTATACCCGTTTCCGATTTTTCAAAATATGCAAACCTCGTGAGTACGTACCCGTTTTTCTCCCGTTTAAAAATCGCGTTTTTTGAATATGAAGGGTTACTGTCTGCGCGCTAAATGATACACCATTCGATGCAGAAAGTTTTTGCGCATCTTTCTATGCTATTTACAGCGCGCAGCCAACAACCCTTCACAACGAAAATCCCCAAAAACCGTTTTATGTACGCGATATTCCTATGTTCCGGCTATTTTCACGCTTTGCGATGTATTAGAGAAATGATCCCCGTCCAAAATTATGTAATGGCACAAATTTTCAGCGAATTTGGTTAAGTAACTTCCAAGATAATTTTTGGGGGTCTGCAACTTCAACACCCATTTAAACCACAAAAATTAACTTTGCTAACTTTCAAAACTATGCAGCCCCACTAATTCGACCATGCTCTATCCGATGGCGTCAAAAAAACGGGGACGAAAAAAACTGTGCCAAGCCATATTGGGCTCTGTTCGCGTGACCCGCGGACGGCCTTTTAAGCCAGCTATTTTCCAGGTCGACAAGTTCGAACGATCACGCAAAGAGCGACACCGCCCGTTCTTCTACCATTTCACCACCGCAGTTGATACGGAGAACATGCGTCGCGTGTTCCGCGACGTGCGTGAAGTCATCCTGAAACAGAACATTGAACAGCTCAACATGCAGTAATTCAATTAACATTTTTACTAACGCTTTTTTAGTTGATTTGACGACAATCTCTCAAATCTCTCAAAAATATTGGAGCCGTCATGTAACCAATGTGTAGTTAGTAGCGTGTGTCCTTAGTTCTCCTGCGTACTATTTTTTTTATTCTTACTTTTTCTGATTTTTTCGTGCTCCAAAAAAATCCAAAACTGAGCTCTTCCTCTCATCAACCAGTGTAATATTACTCAATCGATCGATTGACTGCCAATATCGATTTTTTTTGTATGATTGATTTGATTTTTTTGTGTCTTCTTATTTCTTTATCATTTTGCATAGCCAAATTTATGGAGATTCCTCACCGTATTAAGCTTATATAAAACATGAAAAATGTTAGAATATTTAGAATTTTTGACACGGTTTTAAATGATTTTTTACTTCTTTTTTGTCGTAGATTAATTGAAAACCCACCACAAATCGGTCTCACCCCACAAAAACATTAGTTTCAATATTGTTCAGTTCAATTTTAATGCATACCAGGGTTGAAAAACCGCTTCGCGGCTTTTCAACCCTGGCCCCGTCTAGGATCGATGAAGTTATTGACTTTGCATAATCCTTGCCGAAACTTGCTCACCAAAAAATGAAAAGCGCGCCCTCTCTTCCTTTTTATAAACCATTTCCACTTCCGGCGTATGCCAATTGCTTCCTAACAAAGAGGTTGGCAGAAAACTTTACAAAAACCTAATTTTAATATCGAAAATAGCAATTTTTTCAAAGATTTTATGTGTGTGCAGTCGATTCCAGCCCTTTCTTTACCCTATGACGTTTCTTCCCTACCGAAAAAATGCTTCCCTGAGGCTGTAGGTGCGGAACATCCAAACGGAAGTGCATGCAAATATACACACACACACAAACACTATTTTTTTATATATAGTAGGATTTTTGAAAGCTTTTTACATAGCAATGACGTCTGGTTACTCATCAGTAAATTAGAGAATATTTTGATTTTGATGGTTCAAGTGTCAAGTTGCACCCAAGTTTTTCCTTTTTTGTGCATATTTCATCAAAAATCTAGCCCCACCTATACAAATTTCTAGTCCAAAAATAATCCATTGCATTATACTTGGAATTCTGCATAGCTTCGTGTATTTATTTTCATCTTTGCTCTTTTCTCTTGCTCTCTGTCCCCCCTGGCTCAATCCATCCTATAAAATCGTGTCCAATTTCACTCAGCTCACGTAACTTACTTAAATTTTCGTAAATTCCCCAATTTTTTTGACTAAATTTCGTGCTCATTTTTGCGTTTTTTTTTGACGAATTGTGAATGTGTGCCTGCTGACATTACCAAGGATATTCCAAGCGTGCTAATAAAGTCTTGATAACCACTACATTGCACTACAGATGACAGTTATCACGCTCTCTCTCTCGCTCTCTCTCCCCCTCTTTCTCTCTCACTCTCTCTCCCCTCTTTCTATCTCTCTGTCTCTCTCTCTCTCTCTCTCTCTCTCTCTCTGCCTATCTGGCCCTACCTAGCTGTGAACAAGAAGCCAGCGGGCCAAACAATGAGAGGGCCCTCCCCAAGTCAACATGCCCCCCTCTAGGGGTGAAGGGCTGGAAATAGTGGAATAGTGAGAGGACGGGGCTCTTCATGACCGCCACAAGTGTAATGCACAGCCCCAATACCCAACGGCTATAGGGCCAAGGGGCAGCTCTCTCTCAAGCTCTCTCCTCGGCTCAAAATATCCCGTTTCTGACGCTCTTTATCTCTAACCGCAAGCCTATCTCTTGCTCTCCATCTCTCTCTTTCTCTCTCTCTACCCCGCTCCATCTCTCAGTCTATCACTATCTCTCTCGCCGAAGAGAAAGAAATATTTCGACAAAGCCCCGAAAAAAGGTCTGCCCTGGGCACAGGGCCCCTTTTCTTGGCCCATACGCCCAAATCACTCAATGGCCCATCTCCCACACATTTCTCCCCGGGGCCTTGGGCCACGATATCGATAGATTTTTGAGGATTTGTTTACCATTTGGGCTCCACCGATTTATATTCTTGAAACTTCTTTATTAACAGCATCATATCTCTTACTAGGCCTTGTTTCGATATCTGTTTGAACAAAACCTAGATAATAGCTTTTGAGCGACCTACACGCTGTTGTTTCTCACCCATCCATCGATAGTTTTTATAGATGAATTATATTTATTAGCGACTGAACCGTTTATAATTTTTTGTGATTGTCTATCGCAACGTAGGAGACAAAGAACGAACAGAATGGTATCCACATCTTTCTACATTGGTAACTGGATATTTGTAGGTTGTACCGTCCAGCTTTTCATCCTTAAACCAGGGTTGAAAAACCGCTTCGCGGCTTTTCAACCCTGGCCCCGTCTAACGCACATGGTAGTCAAAAAATATGCATATCTTCCAGGACCTTGATCGCAAAAAAAATGAAAAGAACCCCTTCTGCGCCCTTATATAGGCTTACCCCACTTCCGGCGCATGCAAATTGCCTCCTAACAAAGAGGTTTCTCGATACCTTTACAAAAACTCAATTTTAATAGCGAAAACAGTAATTTTTCCAAACTTTTATGTGTGTGCTCTCATCTCAGCACCTTTACGCACCTAATGACGTATCATACGACCCTTAAAATCCTCTCCCTGAGGCTGTAGATGCGGTACATACTCACGGAAGTTGCATGCAAATATACACACACACACACAAACACTATTTTTTTATATCCTTATATATATATATATATATATATATATATATATATATATATATATATATATATATATATATAATAAATCGTGTTTTACATTATGCCATCATATGGCCCCGATTTTTATGATTTAATATTCTATCTATCCGTTCCATATCAGTCAAAAATCTCAAGTTTCCCTAGAAATGAGCAGAACAGACGATTTCGACAAAGCCCGGAGTCTACACGATGCTGGAGGATCGGCCGAAGCCCTGGAATTGATCAGGAAATATGTGGAAGACAAGGTCTTTGCAAGCTAATGACTCCCTTACAGTTAATTTTTAGGAAACAGAACTCTCAGTTCGGGAGGTCGAGACGTTGTGTTATATTTTAACAGAAAAAATGACCAGGTATGCTGAAAATCCCTAACCGTGAAGCTATGATACTTTGTTTTAGTGCCAGTTTCGAGTCGAAGAAAGAGGCTTGCTACGAAGCGATCGATTTATTGGAAGGGATATCCATTGCGTAAGTTATTCTCATCACTTCTAAAAATAAATACGTAATGAGCAATTATAAATTATTTTCATACCGGTGGAAAAAGACCGCTTCGCGGGCATTTTCCACTGGACCCCGTCCAGGCATCATGAATTTGAATACCTTCTTCTTTTAGCCTGCGGCGCAAGGACCTTAGTAATGGCGCCATTCTTTGGCCTGCGGCGCTAGAGCCAGCGTTCCGCTAGAACCTTTGAGCCTGCGGCGCTAGTTACTGGTTTTTCTCCAGGATCTGGCCTGCGGCGCAAGAGCCTGGGTCAAGGAGCTTCTCTTGGGCCTCCGGCGCTAGAGCGAGGGCCAGGCCTAAACCTCGCATACCGAGAGCCTAGAAATATGTTTAGTTGCTTAACTAGCAAAAAAGCAAAATGTTGGATTTGCCCAGGATCCGAACCCACGACCATAGGTGTGGTAGGCCGGGCGTAAATCCAGCTACACCATGGGGTAGATGGCAACAGGCGGCGGGAAAGCCCTCTTCTGTTCCGGGGCAAGGGGGGCAGGGAGGCACAGAAAAGGCCGACCCAATGATCCCGGAGGGAGGGGGAGGATGACAGAAGCGCCAAAGCAAAAGCGCCAACGACAAAAGCGCCCATGCAGAAGCGCCAAACGAAAAGCGCCCAATGCCAGAAAGCGCTCTATGGGGAAAGCCAACGTATGGAGAGAGGAAACAATTACATAAAGTAGAGATAAAATAGTTGTTTTAATAGGTTTTCTGTGTTATTATGGTAGTTTAGCGGCAGTTCGACCTACTAGGCCATAAATTACCGACTGGGTCAAGTTATTTTGGCCTCCTAGGGCATTCTTTCACTCGAATAGCTAGTTCTCTTCTAAAACAGCTTTTCCACTATTTTTGAAGTAGTTTCTTGATCTCTACATGCTGGAACCGGTCCGAAAATGCATTTCTAATGTGAGAAAGGTATAAACTCGCCGTGGAAAGGTTGTTTAGTGCCATTTTCGGATCCATTACCCGGAAATACGGCGTTTTTCTCGTCGTTCTGGCCTCCAAACACTATTTTATAACAAGTATTTCGTGCTTGCAACAATATTGTGACTGAAAACATCAGAAATCGTGAGAACATGAGGCAAACCCGGTAAAACTAGAGACTGAAACAGGGCAATTCAAGCCAAAAAGACCCAATAAAGCCAAAACAACCCGCTCGGGGTGATAATTTGCCGTCTACAAAGCCTACCTATCGCTCAACAACGTTTAAAAGGCATACAAAGCTTGAAAAACGCCATTTTATGTAATTGTTTCCTCTCTCCATACGTTGGCTTTCCCCATAGAGCGCTTTCTGGCATTGGGCGCTTTCTGGCATTGGGCGCTTTTTGGCATTGGGCGCTTTCTGGCATTGGGCGCTTTTCGTTTGGCGCTTCTGCATGGGCGCTTTTGTCGTTGGCGCTTTTGCTTTGGCGCTTTTGTCATCCTCCCGAGGGAGGCCTTCTGGTCACTTTACAAAATGAAGTTTTTGAGTCTGAATCTGCAGAAAATTTGTAAAGATAATAAGATGCGCGTGATCCCCACTATCGAATACATAAGTGGTCCAAATTTCAGCCCGAAATTCCAAATTCGAAGCGAGTGATGCCCCGGACACCACGGCCATTTGCTGATTTTAGGATTTTCACTATTTTGCTTGTAAAACCGTTTAATGAAAGAATTTCGCAAAACAAAAAATGCGTGTCTGACAAATGTGTTCTTCAACCTTCATGCCAAAAATCAGCTCGAAATTCGGCCTGACGGCCGAGAAATCGTCATTACAGAAAACATACATACTTTTCTCGCTTATAGGATAGGAAATTAAAACTTACATTTTTAGAAAAGAGCCTCGTGCAGCTGTTGCATATTCTGACGGGATTTACGATTGTTTTTCGAAAATTAACCGATCAGCCAGAGAGGAAGAACGGGAAAATGTGTGGTGCAGGGCAAAGGTACGGTGCACCCTAATTTGTGCAATTTGTACGACTCCCTTAAAAGCAAACGCAAACAAACAAATTGACTGCAAAAAAATATCTAGAGGGTTCGATGATGTTTTTTAGGAAATGTACCTCGAGCTTTTCAAAACCCTCCGGAAAACCTACAAAGAGAAAAATAACCTGGAAAGGTTAGAGGCAAGCTTCACTTTTGAAAGCAAAACAGCTGAAAATTCAGATCTACCTCGGATTTGCCAAGCTCGGTAAAAGTTACTTAGATGTGGTGGACGAGGACTCTTTGAATGTAAGTTCCTAGCTAATGACTGTTAATTGCGATTGTCCAAGGATTTATGCTACCTTAGCGTATCTTAATTTGTATTTTTCACATAACTCAGATAAACAATGAACACTTAAAGCTCTGGTAAATCCGACTCTTCAGATTTGCGAAGAAGCAGCCCAGGAAGCGAAATTCTGTGGACCAACAGGGCTGGCAAAAGAGGACTGGAATGAGGTTGGTTCTTACGCTATTTTTAAGGGGGACAGACCTAGCATTACTACGTATTTATTTGCTATGGTTGTTCTAGAACTTTTTCCGTACCGCGACACGCAACGCAACGCCTTAAGGACTGCTAGAACTCTTGAACGCACACTGTCACCCCGAGGGTGCTGCCCACAAGAACGCGCAGAGAGAGGCGTCATTAGTTGCACCCCGTACTGGGCAAAGGCCCTCTGGGGTTTGGGACGTCTCTGACTTCCTTCTGCACTCGGCCCTGTGGTCTAGTGGCTAGCGCGTCGGACTCTGGGTCGAACCATCGCGGGTTCGACCCCCGCCCGGTGCGCTATTTCTTGCTTTTAACGAAATTTTGATCGTTCTGACGGACTTTAAAATTGCTAAATTCGCATCAAAATCTTATATTTCCAGATCAAACGCCAAGTCGAGCAGATCAACAAGCTGTGTAATGGAGCGCGAGAGGAACGGAAGTTGCTGGAAGACCAGTAACATCCATATATTCGCTTTTTGATCTTCTTTCCGCATTACGGTGCATTTTGTACACCTTTTTGTACATATCCGTTTATTCCCGCGGTAGTAAACGTTAAGTTAAAATTTTGTAAATCGAAAATCTCTCTCTGGTTCTTCAATCCATTTTGGTGTAGACGACCCGCGTGTGCTCCAAGTATCCTTGCTGAAAAATATATTTACTTAAAATTTCTTTTGATGAAATACATATTGTTCTACCGTAATTACATATATTTTTTTATTAAAAACTTACCTTTGGATGGGTAGCGGTTCTCATTTCGATGACTTGTTCGAGGTATCGATCGTCGTGACGTACGAAAGTACGTCGGAGCTGAAAATTACGGGTTTAAAGGTGCCAGTTAGGAAATAGAGAGCGAGAGGAAGAGACAGAGAGATAGAGAGAGAGAGAGAGAGAGAGAAAGCGAGAGATCCAGAAACTCACATCCTCCACCGGCAAATCCCTTGAAAAGGATATCCGCCCAATATCCTTCAGCGTCAGCACCAATCGATTGTGGGAAACGTGTCCGACTTCATAGGTTGTGAAGCCTAAAAACCTACTTAATGACTTTTCCTAACAAAACAGCTTGGCTTAGAGTGAATTTAGTTTGCTTAAATCATACCATTATTTCCGGAAGTCATCAATGTCACATTTCCGGATGGGTCAGCCGTGACGAATCCCCACTCGTCGTGGAAATGGTCCTTGGTGGAGTGGGACCAGGCGCGGGCTCTGAAAAATGAAATGAAAGTGGTTAAAGGTACTAGGAAGAGGTAGTTAAAGGTACTAGGAAGAGTGGAATTCGACCCCACGTCGACTAGGTCTAGACAAAAATGTCTTACTTCGAAAGACGTATTTACTCACCCGAACTTCGTTTCACAGGGAGGGACTAGAACCGTTAAAATGAGCTTTGAAGCGTCAACTGGTATAGCCCGTAGCTGTCTAGATCTAGTCCTTAGCAGAGGGTCGATTTTGGCCCTTTCCAGCCCCTTAAAATGGATTTTAAAAAATTTAGTTTACAGTATTTTAAGTTTAAGAGATTTTTGGCTAAAATTTAAAGGACATGGCTGCACCGGGTTATAACAATCATTTAGTGCCGAAAAATAAGACCAGGCAAACGACCAAACAACATTTTGGAAAATTTCCTACAAATCCTGACCCGCTCCTAGCTTCAGAGTTCCTTTAAAACGTTCCATTTCCTGCCCTCGACTTATCATCATATCTTTTCCATTCACACCACCACCTTCCAATTTGCCATCGAGGGCAATGGTTGTGGAACAGAACAGTCAAGGGGGGAATGGGAGGGATCGGGTACGCGTGGGCGTAAAAAGCACTGGCGCGGACAACACAGCCTAGGCGGCTCCATCCTCCCTTCCCCCTCTAGGGGTTGTGTGGATGAGGAAAAAGCATGGAACCCGTTTCCTCCCGGGTCGACGCGACACTACACGACATTAGATATCGATTACTCAGGGGCAGAACGGTAGAATAATATCGAAAATGATGGAAATAAGTGATGTGGAACATCCGGCAATTGTCAAAACCCGTTATAGAAAGGAAAAACCGCGTTACTTTAAAAAAAACATGGACAGACGAGGAAATCGCTATGAATTCGGTATTTCATGCCAATTTTTCAGAAATTTTTAACTTAGAAATGTTTGTAAAGGTGGTCCAGAAGAGTAGCATTAACATCGCTAAATCAAAGATTTAATAAGGAAAATAAAGGAATTTCGATTAGACCCAAAAGCGACCAATCGCTTTCTCTTATCATGCTCTCTGGGTTTTTTCACTTTTCTTCCGGGTTCCACTGGTGCGGCGTGTCGCATCAAAAAGAAACCATCAGTTATGGAAAGTGAAATGTGATGAGGGGGAAGTAAAAAGCATGAGGCAGAAAATGGTTAGCAAAATCGAAAACCAATTAAACGTTAGTAATGAAGCTGTAAAATTTCTAAAAAACTCACGAGAAATTGAGGAACTGCACATTGGCGCTCTTCGCTAATGGCGCCTCCATGATTTTCAGTTCTTCACCAAACGTCATCGTGGGTACGGTGGGCCAAAAAACCTGCAAATAAAAATGGTTTACTATATTATAAAAATCCCAAAATTAAACCTTAAATACGCAAAAAAACTTTCCAAAAACGACTTTTTCATGAATTTTGTACATATATCGACCAGAGAAAAAGGTAGCTATTCCCCAATGATAACTACTAGTCGCCCAATTTTTACGGATTCGCGCTCTAAAATTTTGTGAGCTGTCTCAAGTAATCTCTGCTAGCTTGCCTGCTTTGAAAACTAGGAATTATCTAAAAAATCCGCAAACAAACCCTCACCTTCCCCGAAAATTCGCTCCTCCAATGCCCGGCAATCCATTCCAGCTGCTTATTGTATGAGGTCAATTCAGTATTGACCAGCGGCAACAAGAAAATAAATAATGCTAACATTTTAGTATGGGAGTGCCAAAAGCCGCTCGGTGGAAGCTTGAAACCCGGTGGGTGGGCGGAGCTTCGCGCGCCGTGCCCCGGTTACCCCAAAAAAGGAGCACGAGCATTCGGTGAGAGCTGGATGAAAGCTGCGAAAAGCCGCGGGATATTGGTAATGAGATGTTAGCGAGGAAATTCTGAGGAGGAAAAGAAAAGAATTCCTGCTAGCCTTTTTTGGCTTGCGACCCTTAGGCCTCGCTGAAGAAAACTTTTAGATTCCGCAATAATCCTTGCTCGGCACTTGTTCTACACAGATTTTGACCAAAAATAATCTACGCTAGTTGCTTCTAGCCCTGTTTCTCTCTTCGAAGCCTCAAGGATCTCTGCTGGTTATGTATTAGGCGCAACTCCTGGAGCCCAGGGATAACCTTTGCGGTTCA